ATTGTGCTCATGCAGAATCTTTTTTTTTTGGTTCATGTTTTTTATTGTGTTCTTCTTTTTTTTTTTTTACTTGTACTTTACATGAAGGTTTACAGAGTAAACTAGTTTCTTATTAAACTACTAATACACATACTGTTTTGTGATTTTAGTCGCCAACCCCACAACATATCAACACTCTCCCCTTCTCGACCTTGGGTTCCCCATTACCAGCTTTCCTGTCCCCTCCTGCTTTCTCATCCTTGCCCCTGGGCTGGTGTGCCCATTTAGTCTCATTTTGTTTTATGGGCCTGTCTACTCTTCGGCTGAAGGGTGAACCTCAGACGTGACTTCATTCCTGAGCTAAAAGGGTGTCCGGGGGCCATACTCTTGGGGTTTCTCCAGTCTGTCAGACCAGTAAGTCTGGTCTTTTGTGTGTGTCTGTGTGTCTGTGTGTGTGTGTGTCTGTGTATGAGTGAGTTAGAATTTTGTTCTACATTTTTCTCCAGCTCTGTCTGGGACCCTCTGTTATGATCCCTGTTAGAGCAGTCGGCGGTAACTGGGCACCATCTACTTGTGCTGAATTCAGTCTGGTGGAAGCAGTGATAGTTGTGGTCCAGTAGTCCTTTGGACTAATCTTTCCCTTGTATCTTTAAGTTTTCTTCATCCTCCTTTGCTCCAGCCAGGGTGAGACCAGTGGAGTATCTTAGATGGCTGCTCACAAGTTTTTAAGATCCCAGACGCTACTCACCAAAGGAGAACGTAGAGTATTTTCTTTGTAAACTATGTAATGCCAATTGAGCTAGATGTTCCCCATACCATAATCCCCACAACACTTAGCCCAGTAATTTGGTCCCTCAGAGAGTTTGGATGTGTTTATGGAGCAACCATGACCTTGCCTTGGAGAAACTGTGCTGGCTTTCTTGCAGATTGTTTACATAGACCAAGACGCAGTCTTTCGAACAGAAAAAGAGGACACTGCATGGTTTAAAATCAGGAAGGGTGTGCATCGGAGTTGTATCCTTTCACCATACTTATTCAATGTGTATGGTGAGTAAATGATCCAAGAAGCTGGACTATATGAATAAGAAAGTGGCATCAGGATTGTAGGAAGACTTATTAACAACCTGCGATATGTAGATGACACAACATTGCTTGCTGAAAACAAAGAGGGCTTGAAGCCCTTACGAAGATGGAAGACCACGGCCTTCAGTATGGATTTCACCTGAACATAAACAACAAGAATCCTCACAACTGGAAGAATAAGCAACATCATGATAAACAGGGAAAAGTTTGAAGTTATCAAGGATTTCATTTTACTTGGATCCATAATCAACACCAACGGCAGCAGCAGTCAGGAAATCAAACAATGTGTTGCATTGGGCAAATCTGCTGCAAAAGACCTGTTTAAGTGTTAAAAAGCAAAGATGTCACTTTGAGGACTAAGATGCACCTGACCCAAGCCATGGTATTTTCAATTGCGTCATATGCATATGAAAGCTGGACAATGAGTAAGGAAGGCCAAAGAATTGATGCCTTTGAATTATGGTGTTGGTGAAGGATACTGAATATACCACTGACCGCCAGAAGAATGCATAAATCTATCTTGGAAGAAGTACAGCCAGAATGCTCCTTAGAAGTGAGGTTGGCGAGACTTCTTCTCATGTACTTTGGACATGTTATCAGGCAGGACCAATCCCTGGAGAAGGACATCATGCTTGGTAAAAGAGAGAGTCAGCGAAAAAGAGAAAGACCCTCAAGGAGTTGGATTGATACAATGCCTGCAATGATGGGCTCAAACATGATTGTGGGGATGGCGCAGAACCAGGCAGTATTTCATTCTGTTGTCCATAGGGTTGTTATGAGTTGGAACTGACTCGATGGCACCTAACAACAGCAACAACAATCCTCTACTAGCATCCCACCAGGACGTGCTCCACAAATGTCTGCTTTTTGCTGGTCAGCAACTTTTCTTGCGAAACTAGCATCAGAATACTGTGGCAGTGAGTGGGGTGGCACTCAAGGAAGCAAATGGGGAAGGAGAAGGCCTCAGTACTATAATGGCAGGGCTGAGCCATTTGCTTCAGAGACTGCTTGGGAGAGGGGAGCACAGGATGCTTGACCTGGCATTGAGTTTTGGCCTGAAGATCTTTGAAATCTTTGTGAAAAGAATAGATTACAAGCACATACAGCAAGTCAACAATAAACCCAGGTTGTTAAAAAAGCCCAGAAGTGAGTCTTCAATTTTGCAAGAGGCAAGACTTGGATGCTGCTTTGAGGCAGATAGTTCTGGGAAAACCAATGTAATGACCCATTTAGCTATGCAAACTTAGATATACTATAGCTGGAAGAGAAAAGTGCTCTGGGTGGTGAAGTAAATGGGTGTGCCTCTGGTATGTTTCCTTAGGAAAAACTGGATTTGCCTGGAAGAGTTTTGGCCTGTGGCAGACTGATAGCCCACTAAAGGTTACTTATGTTCTTATATAACTAATGGTAGGTAAAGAGGACCTGCTTTTACGAAGACTGTGAGGGGGCCCTGGGAACGAGCAACACAGAGTGGGGGAATTCTACATGGAACCAGGCCCTGCAAGCTGCTCTGGGAGCCCCAAGGGCCTCCCCCTTTGTTAGGACATTAGCATCCCCATGACAGACACCATTAGCAACGAGGCCCTTTTGAAAGGCTTCTCTAGTATCAAACATTGACTAGGCACAGGAGTTCTTAAACTGAGCCCATGGGCCCCCCAAGACGTCAGTGAATAGATTTCAGAAAGTCCATGTACTTGAATGAAAAAATGCATCTTTAGTTTTAACAGCTTCTAGATGAAAGTTAGTATTTCCTTCAATAATGAAGTACACAATGAACTGCCATAGTATTAGCAGAACTTGTGACTTTGTCACTAATAGAAATTGTACGTATTTTCATATTGCTTTACTGTTGTTGCTGATAGCTTGAAATATTGTTTATACTCATCACTACTTCAAAATTTCAATAGCTATTACACCTGCCCTGGGTAGTGCAAACGGTTAAGTGCTCAGCTACTAACCGAAAGGTTGGCATTCAAACCTACCCAGAGATGCTTCAGAAGAAAGGCCTGGTGATCTGCTCCTGAAAGGTCGCAGCCTTGAAAACCCTATGGAGTGCAGTTCTATTTTGCAGACATGGGGTCTCCATGAGTTGGAATCAACTGAATGGCAACTGGTTTGTTAGACCTGCCACTAGAACCTGTTCTTTCATACAAAAATGAACACATGTATTATTATATCACATTTAAATTTGATAATTATATTTGAACATAATTGGTTCCTTTTGTAATCCTATGTATTTTATTTTACGCATTTAAAACTTTATTCTGAGAAGGAGTTAAAGACTTCACCAGACTGCCAAAGGGGTCCATAGCAACATCGGGAAAAATTGCCAAAGACTTGCAAATGAGTGGAAGAGATTACTAAATGGGCATTGTTGAGGGAATCCTCCAAGGATTTTTTGATTATATAGGGGCGTGGGCCTTTGCCTTCTATTGACTAGGCTGTTTTACAACTGTTGACTACTAGCCCAAAAGTTGGTGGTTCGAACCCACTCAGAGGCGCCTAGAGAGATAGGCCTGGTGACCTTCTGAATTCTGCTCACTGATGTCTTGGGGGGTTCATGGACTCAGTTTAAGAACTCCTGTGCCTAGTCAATGTTTGATACTAGAGAAGCCTTTCAGAAAGATGTGGCAGTCTGCTTCTGTAATGATTACAGCCTTGGAGACCCTATGGGGGCAGTTCTACTCTGTCCTATAGGGTCACTATGAGTCGGAATTGACTCGATGGCAACGGGTTTGGTTTTTTTTTTTTTTTAAATACCTGGCATTGGGATTGCTGAGCTCAACAACTTTTAAAAGAGGTTTTTTTTTTTTTTTTTCTTTTAAGGACAACTTTTTATTGCTACCAGAGGCTTTTATTGTCAATCAGTACATGGCTGTGACTGTAATACCTTCTTCAGACTGCACAGAGAGCTCGGGATCCAGAAGTTATTAAGAGAAATATAGGTAGATTTAGGAGGCAGGGGTAATAGCTTTTATCAAGAAAATCCTAGCGACATAAAACTTGGGTACTGAGTTCAGTTATTATATGTTACAGACTCAAATCATAGAACTGCCCCAACATCTAGACAGTCTTTCTTACTGATTATAAATGAGTGAAAATTCTGATCAGTTACAAAATCTAATTTTAGTTGTTTACATACATGTTTCTTTGGTATCTGGATATATTAACTTTATCACAAATTATTTTATACAAATGTCAACAATGCTTTCAACAAATCTAAGTATGTCCTAATTACATGCCACTTATAAGTTTCACTTTAAGATAAACAAAAATAAAAGCAGTAATTTTGTTTCTAAACTCTAGAAGTTGAAATGTGACAAACACTAAAAATCAACATGGTAATGTGAGTCTTTTCTATTACCATCGCTGATTCACAGGGGGCAATTTTGAAGTCACTTTCTAGACTAGTTTGAATTTGAATTGTGGATTAAACATGACAGTCACTTGTTCACTAAATCGCAAAAAAATAATAATTTAGGCAGTTTCCTATTTAGTGGAGGCCAGGGTATAGTTTAACATGCATAAAATTCATTACATATTCAATCAAGAAGTTAGCAAAAGAAGAGGAAAATTAACAGGATGTCGGGGACAGGGTTTGCTAGTTATGAATTTTGGAACTTTTTAAAAAGTTAAAGTGTCAGTTTTTGACATGGGGCAAGTTACACTACATTTTAGCAGAGAAAATAGTGGAACTGAGAAACACTACAAAGAAACTTTTTGCTTCTTTTTTTTCCCCCTTAATTTTGGATCTTTTGATATATAGTAAACAAGGGTTTTTGTGTTTTTTGTTTTTCTGGCTCACTTCAGTTCAGCCTGATAAGGTATATATCCCTTATATATCCTTTCCTGGTTTTGCATGTTCTAATTCCCGGAGTAGTCTACCTTAGTTTTGCACCTGAAGTTAACACTTGTTCAAACTACATGACAGAAACAGGCTACAAAGGTGGACAAGGGGAAGCATGTCCCTCTTGCCTTGATAAATCAGTGCCACACACAGAACCCACATTTTCTGAAGCATTGTCTTCATTATAGAGCCATTTGATTCCATCATAGAAGTCATCCACTTCCATTTCCTCTACTTTGCGTTTAGCAGAGGTATGCTTGCGCCCACTGGCAGCTGGGAGATGACAGAAGGCGGCTGCTCTACCTCTGACTGGCACTTCTGGTTTGCTGCTGTCCTTGGAGAAATCTGGGCCTGAAACAGAGGAGAAACGTACTCTAAACACTCCTTTGTCACAGTTCACCAGGGTGTGCTTGAGGGGACGGTAGACATAAACGGAATTCAGAGGCAGGGAAGATTGCAGAGTAGAAAGGTGATGTGCCACAAGCTCCCGATGGTGGATCAGCTGGGAGCTATCCACCTGTGCTTTCTGAAGCAGTTCAACTGTAAGAGGAAGCCAATCAGGAATGAATTTCTCCATTTCCAAACTAACCACGGCCAGAGCAAGCACAGATGCTTTGAATTGCAGAAGTTGGTTGCAGGGCATACAATGGAGCAGTTGCTTGGTAAGGACTGCCAAATGTTGAGACGGGCTCAGTTTGGGCAAACTGTAGAGTAACTGAGGTCTAGTTGACACTGCAATGGCATGGAAAATGTGGAGAAAATCCAGTGGTGTGGCTGTGTGAAGATCCCCATTCAATTTATCCAAAATAATTCTCTCCATTCTCAGAATTTCAGAGGAAGAACATCCACAGAAACTGTCTCTTGCAAACACCTTCAGTACTGGAATTCTCTCATCTTCCTCAACAGACTTGGCAGCTAAGAAAAAACAGCTGAGTGCAATACAACTCAAGTATTTCGGGTGGGCCTTTACAGTAGCTAAAAACCTGTCGAAAAGACTGCTAGCCCAAGCAAATGTTTCTGGGTAAAAGTGGAATTGGTACTTGAGTTTGACCAGCCACTGAATCACTTCATCTCTCTGGGATGGAGAAACATTCTGATTTGTAGGTATTTTGCGCACATTCACCTTCCACATCTGGGCTTCCCTAGAGATTGTCTTTTCCAACAGGAAAGACAATCTCTGGTTTTCCAAAGGTTCTAGAAACTTCATGATATCCTTTGGATCTGCCTGTTACCCAGTTTGATGTAGCTACCTTCTCCTCCTCTTCCTCCTCCTCCTCCTCCTCCTCGGCAGAGGTGTGGGCCTCACAGTGGTGACGCAGAGTCATCCGCCGGCCGGTTACCACCTCATTTTCCTTTGCGCGCGCAGCGGCGGGGCGCACGGGATGACTTACCAGCCGACTGAGGAGGGAGAGGAGGGGGAACCCAGGGAGGGGGGCTGGGGCGCGGGCGCGGGAGCTTGAGCAGGACGGGACGCACGTCTGCGGCTGGTGGGTCGGGTCAATCAGCGAATTAGTTCCATGACGACCCCAAACCTGTGGCTGCAGCCGCCACCACTTGTGCCCAGGTGGGGAGGAGGCTCCCTCTCGCCATAGGGCGGCGGGGGGCCGGGGAGAGGCGGAGGGGGAGACCGGCTCTGCCCCTGTCCGGGGGATGCCTCTCCAAGGGGAAATGGTGAAAGGGGAGGGGGGAAAAAAAACCCCAGGATTGAAAGCCTCTCTCATGGTGCCAAAATGGCTTTTCTGAGATCCTGATTATGAGGTCTTCTTAAGGACTTAGCTTCCAAATTGTTGCAATTTTACCTAAATCAATTTAATCATTCAACTGCTAGGTTCTTTTGGGAATATTTGGGAGCTTCCAATAATAGAGATAGATGAGGGTTATACCCCTCCAACCCAAATCTCATCTCATTGTGATAGGTCACAATAAGAGCTAGTCTCAGTCTGCATTCTACCACATAGTCAACCATTTATTATCAAGCAGGCCCCCAAATAGTCACATGGCTTATTCTGTAAGCTCAATGAAGTTTTGGCTCTCTGTACTTTAGGGCACTCTGATAATCACCTTGCATGAAAGGTATATTGAAAGCATATGTGACCATATTCTAGTGGCAGGATTAAACTAAACTTCTAGTTGGAATTACGTGATAGCATCATTTGTAGGTGATTTACAATGGATCATATTGAATCCTTAGTTTAGGCCACCCTGAAGGGCATCAGCTACTGAACTCATAAAGATTGTTATACCCTATCTGGACAAAGATGTGAGTGTCTTTATAATATTTCTAGCCAATCTACCTATCTTGAATGCAACTCATTTTACTAGTGAAAACCAGTAGCTAACATATGCTATACTGATTAATAAACCCTCTGGTGCTAATAAGAAGTAAAGACAGTTGAAGCTGTTGTGATACTCCTTTTTGGTTAAAGTCTTTTCTGCGTAGAGTCTTTCAGATGCTAACTATTGATCCTTGAAGAGTGCATCCTGTTAAACCAGTTGCCATGGAGTCAACTCTGATGCATGGTGACCCCATGTGTGTCAGAGTAGAACTGTGCTCCATAGGGTTTTCAATGGCTGATGTTTTGGAAGTAGATCACCAGGCCTTTCTTCCAAGGTGCATCTGGGTTGATTCAGACTTCTAACCTTTTGTTTATCAGCCCAGTGCGTTAACTGTCTGCACCACCCATGGACTCCCTTTTAGGAGACTCTAAATGTTAATCAAAAGGAGCTCTGGTGGCACAGTGGATAAGCACTTAGCTGCTAACTGAAGGGTCAGCGGTTTGAACTCACCAGCTGCTCTGCAGGAGAAAAGACCCAGAGATCTTCTTCCATAAAGATTACAGCCTAGGAAACCCTGTGAGGCAGTTCTTCTCTGTCCTACAGGGTCAATATGAGTCAGAATCGACTTGACGGCACATAACAACATTGTTAATTAACTGCTCCTGGAGTGTCGATGACATATGTATCATACAAATTGATGCTGAAATATTTTAAATTATACAATATAACCCAAATCAAGGCTGACCTAGAAGATTGGTAGGAATTGTAAGTTATCTGGTACCCAGTGAGTCCTTGTGCTTCTCTTAGTTAGCTAAACATCAAAGTTCTCCCTGAATATAGAGTAGAAACCATTTGGAAAACAGTGCTGGCTATATGGCCTCACATTCTACTGAACACCTTGGCCAAGGGTGAACACCTCCAGAGCATGCCCAGCAAACTCTATAATGCCAGATCATTAGAAAAAGAGCTTCCTGACCCGGGAGAGCACTGCCGCATCCCCTTGCCCTTTCTTTCGTGAAAAAAGCCATATTATTTGACAGGAAATCAGAAGATAAATGCTGAATGGCTGCCTTATCCTGTGCTTATTGAAAGTGTCCTATTCGCAGAGGTGCCAGATCTAGCTAAAAATAGCAAAGATATTGAAGTCAAGAGCAGGGGATGCTAATCTCAGTACCCTTGGTATCATTTTTAAATGTAAAGAAGTTCAGTGGTACAGGATTTCGTTTTCTCCCTTTTGAAACTGAACTACTTTTTGGTCATGAGAATGAAGTTATTTAAAACCTTAGCATTATTAATGCATGCAGGGACTGTCAAGAGTATTTGTTCCAACTTCCCCATTTAACAGATGAAGAAACAAAGACCAAGAGAGATTATTTAATAGCTGAATAAGCAGGCATGCAGACCAGCCTGAGAGAATCTTCCTTCAAAATAAAGATCCAGTACCTGCTGAATCTTTAAAGTAAGCATATAGTATATATACTAGCAATAAACACTCAGAAAACGCAATGGCAAAAATATCCCACTTATAGTAGCAGCAAAAATGACAATATTTCCTAGGTAGATTTATTTTTTACATCACCCACAAAAATAAATTCTGCATGGATTAAAAATCTAAATGTAAAACAAACAAACAAACAAAAAAAAAAAACCAATAAAAACGCTAGAAGAAGAAACAGAAGAATATTTTTATAATTACCACAGCCTCTGCCAGACTGAGTCTAGCACAACTAGATGGTGCCTGGCTACCACCACTGACTGCTCTGACAGGGATCACAATAGACGGTCCTGGACAGAGCTGGAAAAAAATGTAGAACAAAATTCTAAATCACAAAAAAAGACTAGACTTACTGGCCTGACAGAGACTGATGAAACCCCAAGAGAATGGCCCCTGGGCACTCGTTTAGCTCAGCAGTGAAGTCACTCCTGAGGTTTGCCTTTCAGCCAAAGATTAGAAGGCCCATAAAACAAAATGAGACTAAAGGGACACACCAGCCAGGGGTAAGGACTAGAAGGCAGGAGGGGACAGGAAAGCTGGTAATAGGGAACCCAAGTTCGAGAAGGGAAGAGGGTTGATAGGTTGTGGAATTGGTAACCAATGTCACAAAACAATATGTGACTAATTGTTTAATAAGAAGGTAGTTTGTTCTGTAAACCTTCATCTAAAGTACAATAAAAAAAAAAAAATTTATAATCTTTGGGTAGGGTTGAATGACTTTCCTAAGCAAAACCCAAAACCCAAAATCATAAATGAAAAGATCTACAGATATAACTGAATAAAAATTAAAAACATTATAAAAAAGGCAACCAATAAGCAACAGATTAAGAGAAAGTATTTGCACCATATATAACAAAGGGTTAATATCCACAATATACAAAAAGCTTTAACAAACAAAAGGACAATAGAAAAAATGGACAAAAGACATGAACTGGCTAGACACATAACAAATACGAATTGTCAATAAGCATATGAAAAGATGTTTTTAGAGAAATAGATTTTTAATTGTAGTTTTCAGACCATACTTAGTTTCAAAACCATCCAGATAAAAGAGTATTAAATCATAGGAGGAGATGGTTGGAGCCAATTCCTTCTACTCTCAACAGCAGGGTAGGCCTAGGTGCCTCTTTCTTCTAGGGCTTCAAAGCAGTTCTTTCTGGTTCAATCCCTACTGAGAATTTGCATTTTCACACCAGATACACTGGACCAGAATCTACATTTTAACAAGATCCTCAAGTGATTCTTATGTGTACATAAGAATAAGTAAGAACCCCGTTAAAATGTAGATACATAGATAAGAATCACCTGAGACTCTTGTTAAACTGTAAATGTATGCATACAAATCACCTGAGAATCTTGTTTAAAAAAAAATGATGTATATATATATGTATATATATGTATATATATATATATATATATATATAAGAATCACCTGGGGATCTTGTTAAACTGTAGATTCTAATTCAGTGTATCTGGGAATAGAAATGCAAATTCTTAGCAACGGGTCAAACCAGAAAGAACCACTTCAAAGCCCTGCTTTCTTCAAAGCCCTGCTTTCTTCACAGTATCTGGCCACACTCACTTCACCGAAGTCAGGTGCTACTATATTGCTTGTGTGTTACCAGCACAGGCCTCCTTGATCAACATGTGGGACCAGAAGAGAGAAGAAACAAACCCTTCTCATGAAGATTTCCAGCCTAGTTGTTTAGGCCCAACAAGATCAGAAAACTTTCCAATGTCTTAAGAACTATGGATCAAAGTCTTTGAAATTCCTTCCTAGTCATCCTCAAGTGACTTCAAAGTGTTTAGAAGGAGTGTAGGAGAGGGAGAGAGAAGCCATCTGGGGAGATTTGCCACCTTCACTTTCATTGGCAAAGCCTCCCCCCTGAAAAGGTGATGAATTCAGCTATTTCAGCAGCCAGGATTATAGATGTGACCCTGCTTAGTTCTGCCTAGAGTGCCTGTGATGGTTAAGGTTGTGTGTCAACTTGGCTGGGTCATGATTCTCAGTGGTTTGGCAGTTATGTAATGATGTAGTTTAACAGTTATGTATGATGTAGTCATCCTCCATGATGTGATCTGATTAGCCAATCAGTTGTAAGGGGAGTTTCCTCAGGGGTGTGGCCTACATCCACCAATATACATATGGACATTCTGGCAAAGCTTGCTTGCTTGCTTTGTATCCTGCATCTGGCTTGTCATCTTCTGACCTCCAGTTTTTGGGACTTGAGCCTGTGACCTGCTGTACTTCACAGTATCTGCCAATTTTAGAGCCTCCACAGTCTGTGAGCCGGTGGCTTGCTGTCTGACCTGCTGATTTTGAGTTTGTCAGCCCCTGCAGCTGCCATGTGAGTCACAAGAAGCCTCCAGTCTGACACCTGACCTAGGGACTTGGAACTTGCTAGCCCCTACAACCATGTGAGCTGTTTTCTTGAGATAAGTCTCTCTCTCTTTATGCTTTACTGATTTGTTTCTCAAGAGAACCCAGCCTAAGACAGTACCCAACAACAGCAAGAAGAAAGGACAATAAAAATTAAAAAAAAAAAAAAAAAC